TTCTACTAATTAGATCTATATCCAAGCTTTTAAAAATATAAAACTCATATCTTTCTAAATCAACACAAAAACAAAATTGTTATTCCATCCAAATATCAGGTGAGCAAGTTAACCATTTGGATCAAATGGATCAATTGCTTATGTCATAGTTAAATAATAAAACTTTTTAAATAGAAATAAATATAAAAAAAACTGCAAAACAATTTGGGCACCTATAATATTTTATATTAATCATATTAAAGATAAAAAGTGTGATAAACAATAATTGTTTTATTGATAATAGAAATGAAATACTGAATTTAAAATGGACCCCAAAAATGAAACTATTTTCCTTTTTGGTGGCAAGCTAACTGTTTAACCTTTCAAGTAAAAAAGATAGAAAGGCAAAAGAATAAGAAAAGCATAGAAACCTTGTAGAGAACATTTGTGCACATCTCTGATATTATATATTGATCATATTACACCAAAATAAATTTAAGAAATAAGAATTATTTTTATACACATGGAAATAAAAAAATATATAGAAAATTTTGATAACATATTATCACTGCAACCACCACCATCATCATCATCATCATTATCAATTAAAATTGACATTTGCTAGTATCTTAAAATGTACAAGRCAATTTACAAAAAGGTTTTTTTGTTGTACCAAATGAGTATAAAATTTACTATTTTAACTACATAGGTTTTCACACCAAAAGAAATATATTGACCATTCCCCAATAACCTAATATTTTTGTCTATTAATGTCGCAYATTTAAACCATTAATATATTATTCTTTGTTTTAAACTACGAGTGTGAGAAAGACGAGCATACTGAAAATCTACTTGAACTCAACTCGCTAAATACTCAAACTCGGCTTTAAGTAATCGAGTTCGAGTCAAGCTTGACTCAAGTTAAGTAATTGGCTAAGCCAAGTTTGAGCTTCGCAATACTTGGCTCAAGTGACTTGCGAGCCTAATTGAGCTCATAATAAAATACTAGCCATTTTTAATATATTTACATTTATAATATAAATAGACATTAATTTGTTAACATTAACTTATTTATAATAGAAATTATAAATAAACTTATACTCGATTTTCATAATATATTTTTATTTATAGTATTTAAAATATTAATTTATCAATAATTTTTAATATATACTCAAGTTTTCTAAATATATTTTTATTTTTAATATTTTTAATATGTTTAATATTAGTTTTATTTATAACCGATTCAAGTCAAGCCGAGCTCTAGTGAGCTTGAGTACCTCTCGAGTATTGACTCAAGTTGAGTACCAAGGTTTTTGAGCAAGCTCGAGCTTGAGCTCAAGCAGCCTAATACTCAACTCGACTTGTCTCAATTATACCCCTACTTTAAATTGAATTATTAATTGGTATCTTTATCGCAAAAATAATAGGATAAGTGGACTGCAATCCACCTCAAAAATCTGAATTGCAACCCCCTCCTAGTCTACTAGTAACCCCCCCCTCAACCGCATCCTGCCCGTGAATTTGGCATCAATCCATGGGCAGGATTTAGTCCACCCCTAAAAATCTTAGCCCCACCCTAGGGTGGACTGAACTATAAAAACCCCAAAACAATATTGGATCCAAAAAGTCTTCGAAGATCCACTTCACAAATCTAAGACATTAATCATGTGCAAGTAATATTTTATTTATTTATATACCTGAATAATTAATGAAAATTAAGAGAAAATCATTTTTGTATAAATTATTGATGTATCTTTCCACTTGATAGGTCATCCATAAATCCATAGTATGGTTCTTTCTTACCATCAAAATCACGCATAAGAATGAATTATTTCTTGCTATTTTTATTTTGCCTAATTTTTTAGAAAATCCATAGATCCACTTATACAAACCAAAAAATCATAGTTTCAAGATGAGATTAACAAATCCAGTCATTTCAAGCACCCAAACATGTAAATCCATCGAAATTCAAATGAATCAGTGAAAAAAAATTGCATAAAAAATTAACTTTTCCTTGCCCAATGGGGATCTAGCACCCAAACCCACTTCGGTTCAAGAATCTTCAATTTCAAAACTTTTGTTTGTTCTTTTTTCTTCTCAAAATGGCAGATTCTATGTCATTTTTCTGTCGGGAATGCCTCCACCAACTTCAAGCCAAACCGAAGAGGTTTGTTTGGCAAGACTAAAGGTCAGTTTTCTGAGTTTAGGTGGAAAGAGAAGACATTTCTCCTATACCAGTGTCCAATCACCTTGCAATATGATGCAATGGCCCCGCAAGCATATTTCTGCGTGTTCTTTGAAGAGCCCATACACATTGATATATACTTTAAGTAAGGTTTCCAGTTTCCACCACTTAAAATTAATCAGCATCTTTTTGAGGGGATGCATTGGGCCCAACCCAAGCACACTCTAAGACAATGAACACCAGAAATACCAAGCATCTGTGCTTGTCTGTACTTTCTAGGTCAACCAGTTTTGTCTTCGGAAGTTAAATTAATGATGTATTAATATGGATATCCATTGCAGACGCAAAACTAACTTTTGAATTATTTGAGATTGATGACGTTTAGCCAGTCTAGGAGAATCAATTCCAACAGAAGTACGCCCTTCATAATTAGATTCGAAGATTACTTGTAATCTTTGGAGCGTAAGAACTTGAGCTTCTGGATTCAGAATTAGAATCACATTAGCTTGGAAGTTGTAACCAAAAAACAGAACACCAATAGAGTGGGTTAAAAAATGGTAAATTGTAGAAGCTTTGATGGTTGTTCATACTTCATAGGCAGTCAGGATCTTTTGCCGCCTGCATTTGTCTTGCACTTTAATTCAGCCCAAGATTCAAAGTATTGATACATATTGTGTCGATGGCTTACTGATACATCCCTTCAGAGGTTGTATCGGATCAGTCACCGATTCAGAGGGTAGCCGGGCCTTAAACCGACCCCTCTGAATCAGTTTCAAGAACAATAAATAAAACATAGAAAAATGTACCGACACGGGCCTGTGTCAATATTTAAAACCTTGATTCAGCCTGTGTAATGAAGTGCAAAAAAGTAGTGCAGTGCAGCAGATCCCAATTGAATTCACATCTGCTCCCACAGAATGTGCCCAAAAAATACCCCACATGCACATCTCAGCATTCATTGAGAACATTTCTCGTACTTGTCATTAGGACATGATTCAAATACACCCTTGAGATGTGCTGTGGGACATTATTGGGGTGCATTCTGTGGGGGCAGATTTGAACTCCAGATTAAAGCATTTTCGCGTACAAAACTCACTGGGGGTCTCCGACTTGTCCTGAAGGGATCGCAGGAAATGTGTCTCCCACAGTTTGTGGCTGAGATTTCTACATAATAATATGGTTAAAAGTTGAAATGACGGAGCTCCCTTATTCTAATTCAGATATGCTGAGCACAAAATGTTTTCCTCATGTGTGGCTGTATTGTCTTTGTACACACCATCCTTGAACCAATTGGGGTCAAGGTTCTAAATATCGATACACCCGCCAATAGAGGCGTATCGGACGATATCGATAGTGTTTTTTTCTTTTATTTCAGTCAGAACCCCAATACACCCTCTGTAAGGCGTATCAGGAGTTCTCGAAACGATACGCATCGGCCAATACATGTCAGTACTTTGAACCTTGGTTGAAATGAGTTCAAATCTGCCCCACAGAATGCATCCCAATAACGTCCCACAGCACATCCCAACCATGTATTAGAAACATCTCCCAATGATAAACTTAACACCGGCTTGATGTAATATTTTGTCTTTTTCTCTAAATACTGGCGTATCCAAAAATCACTGAGGTCTCAGGTTTATCATGCGACTGTCATCAAACGTCACCAACCTCACACACAAACTTTGTGCAGTTGCATTTCATTTTATATCATAAATTTCCAAATACTAGCATTTTCCAAATTTATTTACAAATGAGAACAAAAAAAAAAAAAAACGTTATAATCTGAACTTCCCCTTAAGTTTTCTCACATTTCTCTTATTCAAAATATCAATATACGTTATACGTATTACATAGGATAGGATCATCAAAGCTCTTAGCAGAGATAAAAACAAAAGAAAGAAATAGTATTGACTGTTGAAAACTCTTGATATGCGAACTTTGCTATCCACAGTATGGATACTTTGAATCATGCATTCACTCTTAATCTTTTTTATACCTCCGAAGGCAACATTCAATTTATGATGTATTAGCAATTTACTTTTAGTCTATACCTTCCTTGATCTGATATTAGTGACCAAACGGTAGTCCACATGCACCAATATTATTTCTTGATAGCAAAACGAACCCTAACCGACCAGTCTGCCCTATTAATCTACAAAATCATAAACTCCTTGCCCTACGGAATGAAATAGTGGATGAGGACACATGAAAGAGTTCAAATTTTGCTACCACATGGTCTTAGCACTAGCCCAGGGCTAAAAGCCTAAAATCAAGATTCAAAATATCGTTATGTATTATATCGGGACCTTTCCGATACGCCCCTTACAGGAGAGTATCAGGTCAGGCCATGGCTCAGAGGGTAGCTAGGAGCCCAGGACTTAAACCGAATCCTCTGAACCGGTTAAAAAAAATAAATAAAAGTATAAAATACAAAAAAAAATACCGATACCAGCGCTAGAACCATGAATCATGGCCTCCTATGTATTACAGTGACGTGTGACCCCACCACGTTGTCACTTCATCTAATTCAAGGAGGGGCCATAACATTACATCCAAGCCTTTGATTTCGTGGTTTTAGTGATGCGCTAAACCTACCTAATAGTTTGCATTAGACATGAAATGACGATTCCAGATTTCCTCCCCACAAAATGGTCTTGGCCGCACATTGGAAACATCTCCCATGAATAAAAACAAACATACAATTCCGGGAGAATGTTCCCGATGTGAGGAGGAAATCCAACATCTCACATGCTGTTGTTATGTGAAGTGATGAARGCCCTACACCATTACCATGAATGTTGAACTTCAAATGAACGTACGTGCAATTAGAAAAATCGTTGGAGAGCTTTACGTTCTAAATATCACTTTTCATGTCATACATATCTCAAAAGCAGATCCAGTACCTTCAACTTCAACCCCATAAAAGCTATAATGGGGAGGATAGAGATGAGATGCAGCTTCCCTGGTTTGCGTTTTTAATAGTCGTCACTAGCGAAGACCTGCGGTTAGGCTACACTTCGCTTGCTTAAAGAAATTCCTTCAGCCTGGATGTCTTCCCAGGTGTTTCCAAACTGTACTTTCTAAAACATGAAGCATTACCACATGGGAGAAGAATTCTACGAGACTCAGAACTTGTAATATAATCAAAAAAGCTGGCTAAAGGAAAATTAATCAAAGAGGATAATTCAAGTAACAATTGTTCCTTTTCCCCTTATGCAAAATGGAATTCTAAGAGCATACATTTGAATTCTTTTACTGTTTTACATGAATAGAAATATCTGAGGCACAACAGAATCCTCCCCCTCCCAAGAGAGAGAGAGAGAATGAAATACTGAAATTCACCAGCAAGTCCTGAAATCTGTAAGCGGTTAAGCACTCCAACTGCCTTTAATTGACAGTATTACATTTAAGGATGCAAGGAACCTCTATAGCTTTTCTCTACTCTCATTTTTCCATGCGCTCTAAATTTCTTTTCCTCTACACCATTAAGTCTAATAGCCTATACAAAATCTCCATCCAAGTATCATTATGCACAGTTGTCAAGGTGCCACCTAGGTGACTAGCACCCTTGGCTGGGTGCCTCACTTAAATGCCTTGCTTATAATGAAGGCTCCTAATTATAGTCTCATTCATTTTGCTAATACCATTGTGTCAATACATTCTCCCTCTCTCTCCCTCTCTCTCTCTCTCTCTCTCTCACACACACACACACACACACATATGGATAACATACATACATACAACCACACACACACACACTTTGTTTTAGTGAAATATACAAGGGTTTTGAGAGAAAAAGAAAGAAAAATATAAAGAGGATTCTTTTTTTTTCTTCTGCTTTCTCTCTTACATTAAATAAAAAAGCAGCTCCATCCCAATACTTTTTCTCTTTCACTTACTCTCTATCTTAAAGTTTATTAAATAAAAGTATTGCATTCTTTAACTACTAATTTGATGCCAAATTGCTCTATCAAATACTTCTTATATTAGTATCATTTCTGAAAATATTGAAATTAATAAATATATTTGAAATACAATTGTCCAGGGTATGATAAGTTACCATGTTTTGACAGGAAATCTAATGCTCTTAATAAAGAGAATTGCTATTTTTTCAATGCATGACAACTTTGTAATTGATTCCCCCCCACAAAAAAAAAATGGCGTTGAAAACATCACTAGCAAGGGATAACTAGAAGATAAAATCCAATACATATATGGTATAATTAGATTTTGATAAAAAGCCCCTAAATGACTTGTTACCTGTCAGCAAATGTGGTTAACAGCAATGCAGTACCTGCGAATATTTAATCCATCAAGTACAATATAACAAGTAAACATAAGCACAAATTACATAAAATAAACAGCTAAAAAACAAAAAAAAAAAAAAAAAGTGACACTATTGACCTACTGAGTCCAAGAAACAACAGCCAATATTAATAGAGCTTATGTCACCAATCCTGTTGAGTTGTGATAATCTGAAGGCCAAATCTCTCTTTTGGAGATGCTCCTAGTTTCTGTTCAAGTTGATATACACAACAAAGCAATCACAAGTACAAATTATTGGAGTATTAGAATAAGTAAAAACAATGAGTAACTAATACATAACTAAATTGAATGCAACTTACCTAATAAAAGTTTCTTCATACTGTGGTGCTGGCCTTAACTCCCAGAGCCCCAAAATATCTTAAAATGGCTTGATCTACTCTACCGAGCTCAGCCTTAACCCCCCAATTGTAAGAGCATGAACAAGAAAAATACCATAATCCAGAGCTAGCAGGCATGCAAAACAGGCCAAATACGCAATTTTGAGGGAGTGAAACAAGCATATCATTATCAGCAATATTTGGTAATTCCCAACAGGACAGAATTTCTAACTTAAGTACGTCTGTAGGTTGGGAATTGACATGTGTCTTGGTACCATAACTGCACATCAGACCTTGTAACAATCCTTAATATTTAAGTTGACATGGTGTTGGTTAGAATATTCCCAGATCACACTTTTTGTGTGATTGAACGAAGACAAAATAATAAGTGTAGCATAGAAGGGAGACTTTTTGACTCTCTCTCTCTCTCTCTCTCTCTCTCTCTCTCTTAGAAGTATGTAAGTTTTAGTTTAAGAAGTACACTGCAACAATAGAAATTCCAATATACAAGTATTTTCAATGATCAAGCAGATAACTAAGCATGATTAAAAAAAAGTCATGCATGTAGCAAGACCTCAACCACCGACACCTGAATCATCCCCCAGATGAACACCAAAGATACGGCAACTCACCCTGAAAATGAGCAGAAGAAAGGGAAGATCAGCATGCAGGATATGGATTTGGAAGAAAGTTCTGAGATATTAAGTTACAGAATGTTCTCCTGCATTCATGCACAACCTTGAATGATCATTCTAAACTTTAGGGCTTGAATAGAAACCAAAATGGGAAAGAAAGGAGATATAGAAAACCAACAAGAGAAAATGACATGAAATCAACATGAACAGAGATAGCAATACCTGAACAGCCACTGCACAGTGAAACGTGTGCTCAACAGAAACAACAGGATGAACAAAGAACCACATAATTTTCAACTTTGATACACCCTTATAAGAACATCATTTGAACAGGAAAAATAATTGCCACAGCTACTCAACATCTCCGATAAGCTTACAGATACACCACGTAAATTTGGGAACAAAAGCATACATCAAGGAGAGGAAAGCAAAGTCTGCATTGTGAGCACAAAAAAGGATAAAACAAACTTCCAGAATCCAAATATATACTGCATGGAAAAGTAGAATTTCTGAAAAAAGACGCTTAACAGTCAAAAGATTCAAAACTATTGTTGGTCAGTGAAATTAGAAAATTTTCAAATGACAATGAACAACATGCCTATGCATGGCTATAGGCCCAGCAGCATTATATTACCAAGATATGAAAGATGGAAAAATAAAAAAATTAATCATTAATGTCTAAATGAATATCCATGGTACATAAATTACAAATTTTGGTGGTGCATAACAACCAACAACAATGAGTTTCAGGGATTTCAAGCCCTCAAGGCAACAAACAGTTTCCACCTGGAGACATGATGGGTGGACAAATAAATATATAACCATTATCACCAATCCACCCCCACTCTGCTGATAGCACGGAAACTCCCAAATACTGAGGTTGCATGTCACCATATATGAAAAAGAATTCTGCTTCCTTCAGTGGCTTACCCTCAATGTCAGTAAGGTTTGTTCTGTTTATTGTCTCTCTTAAGCTGTACCTTCAACTTCTTACCACCCAATTGGCATCCATTCATCCCACTAATGGCAGACTGAGCTGATGCAGCTGAATCAAAGCTGACAAAACCTGCAAATATAGGATGGTTTAAGATAGGGAACTCCTCAGAAGTTACCTTGAATCTGAAGGGAATAGAATATGTTTTTACCAAAACATTTGCTAACCCCAGATGCTTTGTCAACAAAGACCTTCGCACTCAAGACCCTACCAAATCGTTGAAAAGTATTTGCAAGCTCTTGATCACCAAATTCTTGAGGGATGTGATAGATAAATAAATTAGCACCAGGGGGGCCTAAGTTTGACAGAAGGAACAATAGTCAGTGTTGAAACAAGTATCAACATTTTCATCTAAAAAAAGAATTAAGAATGTCATAGAGAATATTAACCAACCTTCAACCTGAACACCTGAACTTGTACTGACACTTGAAGATGCTATTGAATTACTATTCACAATTGCAGGTGGCACAGAACCATGAGAACCACTCAAAGGGCTGCGACTGACCATTCCACCAGGATAGGCCACAGGATATTGAAGGCCTGGAACTGCAGGATATGCAGACCCTATATAACTGGCAGATGGCACTGCAGCAAAATTCCTAGGTGCTATGCCAGGAGTAAGATCAGGTGTTACTCCACGCAATGCACTTCCTTGGTTTACTGGTGGAATCATATTAGGGAAGCCAGGTTGGTTTTGTACTGCTGGCAGGGGGTATTGCATAAGCCCATAAGTCCCAGGTGCCTATAAAAACAAGAATCATATTTCCAACTTCATTATGCTATTAAAATAAGTTAAAAAGCAGAAAGATGAAGACTGTAAGCATAAGAAAGAAAGCATCAAGAGAACCAAGTGGGCAGTAAAAAAGGAATATACTATGAAATTGGACATTATGGTCACAAAATTTTTAGATACAAAACAACTAATGTCATGATTGTCCATACCAATGCTTCTCAGTTCAGTGCCCTTAAATGGAGGAAATCTCTGTGTTGGACATGCACATATTCTGATATCATGTATTCTTTAGAGGTATAACATGGGTGGCCTCGGATTAAGCATTTATTAAAATTTAAATGGGCCTTGGCTTGATGCTGTGTAAATTCTTCATACCAGGTACCTGACTTGCACCCCTAGTATTCTTGAGTGACTCTTTTAAGTAACATTTTTCCTTTCTCTCCTTGCTTATTTGACATAAATGAACAGATAATGTACAACATGAATCCCATTTTTCCTACAAATTACGCAACAAAGATAAACTTTAAAAACTTCGTCTAAAGGTATATAATGTTAGAATCCAAAAATATTGATTGTTTTAATAGATTGGATTTTATATAGATGTATCCGCAAGTCCTTGTCTTTTCATCTTGCCAAGTCAGGTCCTTGGACACACCTCAGATCTTAATTCGCATGTCCATGTACAACAATGCAAAGTGTACCAATCTTAATTATGCCTCATAATAATAAAATCTGAAGTAAAGCACTATTGCACAAGTAGGATTGCATTGACAAAAGCAACAGAAAATTTTATATATATATATATATATATATATATTGGACGTATGGAACAATGTAGCAACACTATGGAGACTATGTTTCTTTATAGCTACTTATTCCTGAGCTTACCTTGAAAAATTGACCTATATGACAGTGCATCATCATTCCTTTCTCTTCTGGTAGACACTCTCTATTGTATGGCCTTCACTCTTCTGGCAAACTATATCTTTTCTTTTTCCCCTTTTTCTTTTCCAGATTTAACATCACAAGCTTTGTTCATACAATCACCAACAATTGAAAAATTACAAATTCAATGACATGCTAATACTTAACCAATAGTAGTCATGGTTTAAAATGTCCATAAATTTTCTAATATTTCCACGATGTATTTCCATTTCCATGGGTAGCGACATGAAATTTTACTGGAACCAACATATTCCCTAGTGAACACTACCAACACTATGTGGAGTACAAGAGATAGTATTATAACATAAGTTGGTGACAATATTATATATATGTAGAGCAGCAATTTTATTGCCCGCCTAATGCACATGATTACCACTTTGATCCAATTCGATATTCACTACAAACATGAAATTAAATACTAGTTTTTGTTTGCCTAATAGATTTTTTGGTTGATCTATCATCTATTAGAATCATTTGCATTTTCTATGAGTTTAAATTTTGCTTGAACTCATTCTGTCATGCAGTCTTGAATCTTAAGGTTTACAAGACAACTTCACAACATATTATTTTGTCTATAGCCTTAGCTTCTTAACTTTGTTTAATGATTTGGAACAAGATAATAATTAAAAAGGTGTGCCTATGCTTCTTTTATCATTTCATAAAGTAGTCGATCAAGACTACAGTCAGTCTTGAATTTCCGACAGATTTCGGATTGAGAAAAGTAGAGAAAAGTAGAAGAAAGAGGGAGAAGAAAGGAGAAGAAGCAGAAGTACACAAGGGTTTTGAAAGGAGGGACAGATCGAATGAATCT